GTTGAAGTAGCACTTGCTGGTTTGAGTTCATATGGAACGCATGCAGCAGAGCCAGTCTCACAGTCATAAAGAAGTAAAGGCTTGCACTGCAGACCTTTAACTTAAAAAAAAAATCAATCAGGAAATATTGATTAACACTTCAGCTGTCTCCTCAAAGACATTTTGACCTTTTTGATTCCATTTTGTCTACTGGAGTGTCACTGAGCAGTGTTCTTTGTAAGTAGCAGAATCTGTGACAGTTTCTAGTCCTATTTGTGGAGGGAAGTTTGTGTGGATGGTATGTAATCTTACATGCTGAGAAGAGTCTGGTGTCCAAGGTGTAGTGGTCAAGAGCTAGGCCTGTCGAGTCATATGGCTGGGTCTTCATCTAGACTCTGGAATGTACTCATGTGTAAGCTGGACCCAATTAGCCTCCAAATTCATGTTCCCTCCTACAGAATGAAGATAGTGAAGATAGTGTTAGTACCTGCCTGTTGGTTGGGGGTTGTGATTCAGATGACATGATGTTGACCAATGATGAGGTGCACTGTGCCTGATACTGAATAGTGGCTGTCTTCTTATTTATTTTATTTTATTTTATGGATCAGTAATTCAAGTTTTACCCCAGGTCTCCTTTTGTCTTTATTGCAAAGAAAGCAAACTTTAACCCCAGTTACTTGCCTGCCTTCCAGGTGATGTCTTTATTTTGTTTCTCCCCCACCCCTTCAACGCTGGGTTTTGAACCTAGGGCCTTATGCATGCTAGGCAAGCACTCTATCACTGAGCCTTTATGTCCTTCTTAAATATAGCTGCTCCAGCGAGTTTGACAGAATGCTGCCCAGGTCATGGGGAACACAACACATAGGAATCTCCTCAGACTGCTTTGTAACTTATCTCAAATATAATTCAGTTATTGAAATGATTATCTGAATGTCTGCATTCTAGGAACTACTGGAGAAAATAAATATCACCAGCAAATGTTTTCAGAATTTTTTCCTCAGTCTTGAACTCTCATGAGAGTTGCAAAGGGACTCCCATGAAAGTTACAATTAAAATTACAATTTAATTGCTTGGGGTTCATTAAAGCCCTCCTGTTTTTCTTTGGCCCCTGGTCACATAAGCTAGTATGTGTGTTTATAGCCATGATTCAGATGCCCCAAGAAACTCATTGGCCAATGGCTATCCTTATTTTTAAAAGTCACCAGATAAGGCAATTTCTGAAACAACTTCAGCAAGGCATTCCAGAAATGCTTGATCTCATACTTCTCTTCACTGTAATAAATAAATACAATTTTGATTTCATCTTCGAGTAATTAATCTGAACTTTCCCTTCTGGAATGTAAAGTGGAAAAATGTTCTATAGCTCTTTGAAGATTAGATTAGAAAGAAAATGCCCTGAACATTCTGCTTAATTAAATCCTAAAGAGGTGGTTCAGACTTTTCATGATTAATTGAAACATGAATATTTTGGCTGATGCATATTTATATGACATCTTATGAAATTTTTATCATTTTATATAAACCATTCACTCTGGGATTGTGATTTAATGCTGTAAACATTTTGCATTGTTCATTATAAAAATACACAGGCTAATGGCTGTAAGGTATACAATATAAAAATCTGTAGTGTGAATCTTTCTTGAGATAATCTCAAATCTCTCATGGCAAGACTTTTAGCCTAAATATTATATTGGAACTCAGGTTTTCTCTAGTTTAAAGAAATGTTTTTTACATAAAAAAATTTAAACTATATAAGTTAGAAAAGCGAAATTTCCGGGGCCTTCTGTTTTGCCAGTGTAAAGTATGCTGTGATTACCAGATTTAAGGCAAAAAAAGTGAGGTTGAAATGAACTGATCCCTATGACTTTGATTACTTAGGCAAAGTTCAATTTTCTAGGGATGTTGTCATGCCAAGATGGGGCCGTATGTCATATCTGGTGGCAGAATCTGAGCTGCGATTTGGCTGACAAAATGAATTTAGATAATCAACAGTTCTTTTTTAGTTTCTTAAGTCTAATAGTAACATAAATGACTTATAAGACTGGAATACCTGAGATACCTGAAAGTGTTTTCTTGAACTTTTGGAATAATAATGCATTTATCATTAGCTATTGATAAGTGTCATGGTAGAAAAAGAGACATCTGATGAAAGTTTTTCCAAAGTGTTTGCCTTTATGAAACAGAACTTTATGGAAAATGGAGAGAAATGCTGATTTATTTAACAAGACAGATGCTAATCACCATTCTAAGAGTTCTGCACCTGTCAGATAACAAGAGTGCACAGTTCTTTTGTCTCATCTTCCCACGTTGTTACTTTGCAGCAAGAATGATTTATAAAATAATCTGCTTTACATTCTACTTTTGTTGTTGTTGTTTATTTGTTAGGTCTATTGTAAGAAAGTATCTTTTCCTCTCTTTAAAAAGTGACAGGTGGATCTGTCTGGTGACGATGGAAGCATGAGAAGGACCTGAAGCGGCCTTTTGGTCCCCGGCATCTTTCTTCCAGGCCAGGTCCCAGCTGGGGCCTTCTTGTAGCTTTGTCCTCTGCCCTTTCTCATCTTGGTTGTACTCCATTGTAATTAAAGAGACAGCGCTTAAGGAAGGAATTTCATGTTTTATTTCCCAAATCACCCCTTTAAAGGAAGATGAAATGCTGGGAACCTAATGCATGTTTTCAAATGGCTCCCTGGGAAGTGGATCTTCTCATTAAACCGTGAGAACAAATCATTCTCCCCCTTAATTTTTTTTTCCTTACAGAGTTCATCAGAATCAAGCTTTTTTTTTTCGAATGGATCATTTGTGAGAGTTCTGCTGTTATTGTCTTGTTTTTCAGGAATTTAAGATTTTTTAAGGCATCTTGTTGATTAGGAAAATAGAAACTGTTAATCTAGTTAGTTTAGTAATAATGGATAATTATTTTAAAAGATGCTACTTCTATTCCACGTACAGTGGCACATGCTTGTAATCCTAGCTACTTGGAAGGCTGAGGCAGGAAGGTCTCAGTTTCAAATTCAGCTCCAAGTTTCAAATTCAGCAATTTACCAAGACATTCTCAAAGAAACAAACTAAAAACAAAACAATTACTTCTAGCCTAATTTAAGAAAATTGTGCTAAGGTAGATTTTAGAGCTTTGTTAATTTTTCATAACATAAAATATCTATATGTAGACTGATGCCACATTATAAATCATATAAAAGATGTTTCCTTTGACTACAAGTCATTAAATGCAGTAATTGTTTTACATTTGAATTTATATTTAATTGTTTTATATTTGAATTCATATTATGACTTCATTTAAAGGAAGTCATGATATAAAATATGTTTAACTAACATCAAAGATCACTTTTTAGACTGTCTCATTGGATAATTGACAATAGATCACAATCTGTAATTTGTGAACTAGAAAAGATCATTAAAATGACAATATTTATTCCATTAAGGTAAATAAAATGCTGCATGTGGTTCTGAGTGATGATATTCAGAGGAAAAAAACATCACTGCATTACAAATTAGTTTGCTTCTAATTTTGCAGGCTGATGACCACACTGCCTCAAACCAAATCTTTTCCCTGGAAATGGAATGATTGCATGACAGACTCTATGAACCATGAATATGTCAACAACTCATGGACCAGGCCTTGCTTAGCAATTAGTCTTTGGGGGATTTTATTCAGAGATCAGACACCACTATACCAGAGCTTGTTGGGGATTTTGTGATTACCATTCATATCTGGAGCATATGTGTCTGGGTTAGTACAAAAACCAAAAAAATTCCATGAAGGAAGAAGAGCTGTGGCTAATAGTGCCAACCAGACACACACACACACACACACACACACACACACACACACACACACACA